ATGGGGGATGGGAGATGGGGGATGGGGGATGGGGGATGGGGGATGGGGGATGGGGGATGGGAGATGGGGGATGGGGGATGGGGGATGGGGGATGGGGGATGGGGGATGGGAGATGGGGGATGGGGGATGGGGGATGGGGGATGGGGGATGGGGGATGGGAGATGGGGGATGGGGGATGGGGGATGGGAGATGGGGGATGGGCAAAGGGGGTGGAGGGGGGTGTCAAGTGAGAGATGTTAAAAGGCTGCCACCTCATCCCCGCACTTACCTGCACGTCCCCCGGGAAGTAGACGATATGTTGCCGGCTCCGGGCCCGGGAGCTGTCGCCGAGCCCCAGCACCAGGTCGTTCTTGTGGCCCGGTCCCCAGCCCGACACCCCGCTGAACCGCAGCACCTCAAACCCCGGCACCTTCCAAAGCCGAGTGGCCGCCGGTACCCAGCCGGGCCCTGTCATCGCGGCGAGGCCCAGCACCCGCGCAGGAGCAACAGTAACGGAGACAAGGCGCAAAAACACAGCCGCAACTCCCCGGGGGGTTCGGCCCAGAAACCTGGGCCCCAGTCTGCGACTCCCACTCACCGCGCCTCCTGGCGGCACCTGACCCCACTGCATGTATCGCCCACTGCAGACTGCGCATGTTCAGATCCCAAACCCTCCAGGACCCAAGCGAAAAGCTACAGATCTTAAGTAAAGCCTGACAATGCGAGAAAAGATGAGCAGCTGTGACATTATCTGTGGAGGAGAGTGGGAAGACAATCAGGTTTCAGGTCATGCCTTCTCATCAGAAACACCAATTGAGACACATAATGGACTAAAAATGATAAAGAGGTGTTACAAAGACTTGCTGTAATTAATCAAGTCATTAGTGCCACAGAAGGAGGCTGTTCAGTCCATCGAGGCCATGCATACTCTCCACAAAGCAGTTGAGTCAACAGGAGAAGGCACCGGAATCCAATGAGGCGCATCGAGGATACTGAGGGAAAGAAGGATAGAAATTCCTGCCCACTAACCAATCCACAAGTCCCATTTTCCTAGCCACCATCGTTTCCGAGGAAGGGCCACTGGACCTGAAACATTAACTCTGATTTCTCTCCACACATACTGCCAGACCTGGTTGGCTTTTCCAGCAATTTCTGCTTTTGTTTTTGACTTGTAGCACCTGCAATTCTTTCAGTTTTTATTTTGTCACAGTATCTATGCTATTGTGCTCCTTCATATTCTTGAATATTTCAATGAGATCACCTCTCATTCTTCTAACCTGCTGAGAATGTGGACCTAGATTACCCAGCCTCACATCATAGTACAACCCTGTCAACCCAGCGTCTAATTGAGTGGAACAAAACAGAAATTGATAAAGAAACTTAACAGGTCTGGCAGGATCTATGGACAGAAAGCAGAGTTAACATTTTTAGTCCAGTGACCCTTCTTCAGAACCCATCTTCAGAGTTTTGAAGAAAGGTCACTGGACCTGAAATGTTAACTTTGTTTTTCTCTTCACAGATGCTACCAGACATGCTAAGTTTCTCCAGCATTTCTGATTTTGTTTCAGATTTGCAGCATCTACAGTTCTTTGTTTTATACTGCTCTGGTGAACTACATTCAATGCATTTTATTGTTCCTTAAATATTGAAACAGTATTTTAGATGTGATCTCACCAAAGGCTTAGACAGTTACAGCAAGATATCTTTATTCTTGCACTCCATTATCCTTATATTAAAACTAACATGCCATTTGCTGTCCTAATTGCTTGCTGTAGCTACATCCTATCTTTCTGTCATAATGAAGAAGGGTCACTGGACCCAAAAATGAACTCTGCTTTCTCTCCACAGATGCTGCTGGACCTACTGAGTTAATCCAGCAATTTCTGATTTTGTTTCTGCTATTTTTTTATATGACCACACTCAAATCTCTCAGAAATTCACAACTTTCATGCCTTTTCAAAAGTATTCTGCCTTTCAATGATCAAATAACCTCATATTTTCTCACATTATGTTCCATCTGCCACCTTGTCATCCACTCACAACTTTTCTTTACCTCTTTGCAGCTTTTGTGTGCTCTTTGCATTCCCACCTAGCTTTGTATCATTGGCAAACTTAGATATATTGCTCTCTGTCTCTTTGTCTAAGTCATATCGTAAATATCTGAAGCCCTAGCACTAATCACTGTGGATCACAGCCTGCTAACTTGAAAATGCCTCTATACATCCCTATTCTTTGTTTCCTGCCCACTAACCAATCCACAATCCATGATAATATTTCACCTCAACTCTATAAGACCCTATCTTGTGTACTAGCCTTTTATGCGACACCTTATCAAATACTTTGAGTTTCTACAATATTTTTTCTCTTGATATTGATTACCTTAATTTCCTCTCTGTTGTTAATCCTTAGATTACCCTTTATTTCTGACATGTATCCTATGTCTTCGACTGTGAAAGCTGGACACAAAATATTTGTTCAATGTTTCTGTGATTTCTTCATTCCCCAAAATAATTACTTCTGGCATTTTTTTAAGGGACCAATGTATACTTGAACTACTTCCTTCCTTTTTAAAAATTTACAAAAACTCTTCCAATCTGTTTTTCAACACTCATACTCTATTTTGCCTTTGTTAAATAAAATTTTACATGACCCTTTTCTTATCTTTAAAACATTCCCAATTTTCACAATTACTATTCTTTGCAATATTATAAGCCTCTTATTTTAATGCAATGCTATTCTTAACATCCTCAGTAAACTATAGATGGAGCTTTCTTGCTGTGTGTTGTTTTTCAATGCAATGTTTTTTTTGAAAATTTTGAATTGTTTCTTTAAATGTTTTCCATTGTTTATTTACTGCTATATCTTTCAGTCTAGTTACACAAACAAACCTTAGCAAGCCCTCCCCTTATACCTACATAGTTGGCTTTGTTTTAAGATGAAGATTCTTGTTTGTGATTGTTCCTATCTTCAAGCAGACACTTTTGAACAAATAAATGAAATCCAAGTCTGTGAGGGATCTGGATTAACAACACATATTTAACGTTTATTCATTTAGACAAAAGCAAAATACTGTGGATGGTGGAAATCTGAAATAAAAACTGAAAATATTGGAAATATTGAGCAAGTTGTACAGCATATGAGAGAAGCAATGATTCGATCTGCAAATTGGGTATGAATCCTGCAGTTCCTGAGTGCTATCACGACTCTGCTCTTTTGTATGTGCAGATGCACTGTATGATGCAATATTCTAAACTTCATGGCCAAAAGTGAAATACTGTGGATGCTAGAACACTGAAATGAAAACAGAAAGTTTACAAAAGTAACATTCGGCTGGTCAACAATATCTATGGAGAAAGAAACAGAGAGAGCTAATGTTTCAAATTGCTGAACATTAATTATAACTGGGAGAAATTAGAAAAGATTTTAAGAGGAGGATAGGTTATGGTGCGAGGGAGCAGCTTCAGGAGGAAAGAGCCACAAGAAGATATGATGTAAGGCAAAAAGTGGAGGTAATAAGACAAGGAGGACACGGAGAAGTAAATCAGGAGCTGAAAATGATGAGAACAGAATCAAAATCTCCCCTCCCCCAACCGCATCCCAAAACCAGCCCAGCTTGTCCCCACCTCCCTAACCTGTCCTTCCTCCCACCTATCCCCTCCTCCTACCTCAAGCCCCATCCCCATCTCCTACCTACTAACCTCATCCCGCCCCCTTGACCTGTCCATCCTCCCTGGACTGACCTATCTCCTCCCTACCTCCCCAGCTACACTCATCTTTACTGGCTCCATCCCTGCCTCTTTGACCTGTCTGTCTCCTCTCCACCTATCTGCTCCTCCATCCATCTTCTATCCGTCTCGCCCTCGCTCCCTTTTTATTTCAGAACCCCCTTCCCCTCCCCCATTTCTGAAGAAGGGTCTAGGCCTGAAACGTCAGCCTTCCTGCTCCTCTGATGCTGCTTGGCCCGCTGTGTTCATCCAGCTCTACACCTTGTTATCTCATTACCAGCAGCTGTTGCCCAAAAAATGAGACCAATGGTTACATTGTTAATTTACTGGACTCAGTGTTGAGTCTGGAAGGCTGTAAAATGGTTAATCCAAAAAGGAGTTGCCTTTCTTTGAGATTATATTGAGCTTCATTGGAGTGAAGTGTTGCAGGCTGAAGACAAAGAGGCTGGGGTGGAAATGGGGCAGACAATTAAAATTACAATGACCAGAAGCTCAGTGTTATGCTTGCAAACTGAATGAAAATGAACTGAAAAAGACACAGTATCGAAATAAGAGAGAAGCCATTTAGGACTGAAATAAGGAGAGTTGTTTCTCACTCAGAGCATTGTGAATCTTTGGAATTCACTACCCCAGGTAGCTATGAAAACTCATTGAGTATGTTTAAAGTACAGAATGACAGATTTCTAAAGACTAATGCCAGAAAGAGACAGGGGATAGCATGGGGAAATGGTATTAAGCAGACGGCCAGCCATGATTCTATTGAATGGCACAGCAGACTCGATTAGGAGAATTACTTACCCCTCTTCCTCTATTCCTCTTGAACACTCATTCAATCTGAGTGTTTTTCCCACTGCAAAGGGACAGCTTTGTGAACAGCGAATGCTGTACACTAAACTGAAAGAACAGTAAGGAAATCTTTGTTGCACTTACAGGGAATGTTTAGGGTTGGAAACAGTGGAAGGGAAGAAGTAAAAGGACAGGTATCACATCTGCTGTGCTTCCATGGGAAAGTGCAGTGGTGTGAGAAATGGGGATTGGGGATTATTGAAGTTAACACAGGGACTCTGGATTAGAATTCATAATATCATTGATGGAAACAGAAGTAACAAATTTGACAAAGTTGTTAGCATGCAAAAGGACTTCAATGTTGAAACATGATAAATTTTAAAAAGAGATGCAAGTTTTGATTTTTTTGTTCAAAAGACTCCTGTTGGTAATTTAGATCAAGGTTTTATTTATAGCAACTCAAAATATTCTCCATGTTTCTGCAGTAAATGCTGCTACAGATTGAACTTACTCAAACTATGAATTTCACAACGGGCATTAAATATAGCATCTTTTTTCTCTAACATAAAGGTTTCGGTGAATGGTGATAATAAATACCCCAGTGCTGAACCATGAAATTATGTACTAACCTCCTCAATTAAGGATGTGAGCTTTGTCTTGGTTTTAAATTCTCAGCAACCATGTTGGAGATTACTTCAGTAATATACAAGTTCATTTGGCAGAACCAAATGAATGTCAAAGAATTACCCTGAAAGCAACATAAGCACATGTTAAAATAAATAAATAACGATGCCTTTAGTGTTCAGAGCCAGTCATTTCCCTTGTCTGTCTTGTATTTGTCGGTGTGACTGCAGTTCATTGACAGGTGTGATTTGGTGAACTAAGAGATGACCTGTCCTGAACAGATTTCTCTCCAGAAAACTTAACCAAGGGTAAAATATTTTTTCAGGATAAGTGTAATGCTTTTGTAATATAAACTTTTGTTTTGCATTTTCCATTCCAAATGCTGGCATTTTACACTTTGTTTACAGTTACTAAGTGAATTGTAGATATTACTAAAATACACTTATTAAAATAATGAATGAGTATCAGCACACTTACTTATAGCTGAGAACATTGGCAGTTGTTTCCTTACTTCAATGCACAGGGATGCATTGTTGCTAAATAAACTTGCTTAACTTGCTTAACTTGTTCTTATGCTAGGTTCACCCTCTTTTTCTTTTACCCTTCATTTTTTTTTTCACTGGAGGATAAGGTGGCTAGCTGTAATGGCTGGTGGGTAAGGTGACTGTTGAAAAGACAGTGAAGCATAAACAGCCAAATGCAACAAACAGATTTGAGCAACAGTACTATCAATGATTTAGCTTGGATGTAAAAGCCCTTCTGTGTCTGTTTTCAGTTAAGAGCTCATAGTAACCTGTCAGAATATTTGTATTGTTAAAAATTTTGCAGATTTGTACGTCCTATTAGTCATTTCTTTTTCATTCTAAATTTCCAAGCCCATCTTTTGCATTTATGAACATTCTTATGATGTTCACACAAACTCCTGTTAGTAAAAGGGTGCAATTCCTTCATTTTTAGGAGATAGTAACTTTGGGTAAAATTCTCCCAGTGCCTGAATGACCTGGGAAATGGCAAATCAGCTGGAAAAATATGGCGAGATTGGAAAAGTTTGATTCTCAAAAGCAAGAAATAAGTCTGAGTTTTCACCCAAGGTTTGTACAGCAAGACAAGAATCTGGCTAGTGAATGTCGAGAACCCTATTTGCACACATTAGCATTTCATTAGTATCTATTCTCAGCCTCATTTAAAGCCACAGAGATATACAGCACGGAAACAGACTCTTCGGTCCAACTTGTCCGTGCTGACCAGATATACTAGGTAAATCTAGTCCCATTTTTCAGCATTTGGCCCATATTCATCTAAACCCTTCCTATTCATATACCCATCCAGATGCCTTTTAAATGTTGTGATTGTACTAACCTCCATCACTTCCTCTGATAGCTCATTCCATACACACAGCACCCTGTGTGGAAAAATTGCCTCTTTGGTCTCTTTTAAATCTTTCTCCTCTCACCCTAAACCTATGCCCTCCAGTTTTTGACTCCCCCAACCCCAGGGAAAAGCTTGTCCATTTACCCTATCCATGCCTCTCATGATTTTGTAAACCTCTGTAAGGTCACCCCTCAGCCTTTGACATTTCAGGAAAATAACCCTAGCCTATTCTGCCTCTCGCTATAGCTTAAATCCTCCAACCCTGGTAACATCCTTGTAAATCTTTTCTGAACCCTTTCAAGTTTCACAACATTATTCATATTGTATGCGGTTTACTGTTCTCCGACATGATGGAGAGAAACTAAACAGCACCAATCACTAACATGAAAGTCAGAGCAGGGACCCCGGCAGCTCAAGCTCACCTCTTGCTCCTTTAAGCTCCCTTTTGGCTAGCAGTCCCTAACAGTTCAGAACAAGGTGGCATGGTGGCTCAGTGGTCAGCACTGCTGCCTCACAGCACCAGGGACCCGGGTTTGATTCCACCCTTGGGCGACTGTCTCTGTGTGGAGTTTGCACATTCTCCCTGTGTCTGTGTAGATTTCCTCCGGGTGCCCCGGTTTCCTCCCACAGTCCAAAGATGTGCAGGCTAGGTGGATTGGCTATGCTAAGATTGCCCATAGTGTTCAGGGATGTGTAGATTAGGTGGGTTATAGGGGAACAGATCTGGGTGGGATCCTCCGAGGGTCAATGTGGACTTGTTGTGCTGAAGGGCTTGTTTCCACACTGTAGAGATTCTACGATTCTAAGCACCATGGGCACTGACCATCCATAGACGTTGGCATCGGACAAGCACCTGCCTCACCACATCATAATGACACGATCTCCAACTCATTTAGAATGCAGTTATCTACCTCAATGCTGCACTTTGGAATGCACTGACACTTTGCATTGTAATGCTGCTGCCAGCCCATTTTGTGTGCAGTAATGGGTAACCATCTCATGCTGCATAGCAGGGTACACTTCAGATGGTGTTGTTCTGGTATATCTGCTGCTTCTGGACAGTAGAGGTTGCTGCTTTGCAAGGTGTTTTGGTGAATTGGTGCTGTCCATCTGATATATAGCAAATAATGCATTCACTGTGTATGTGTCAGTGGTGGAAGGAGCAAACGTTAAGGTGGATGGTGTTGAGCTTCTTGGGTGTTGCTAGAGTTGTTTGTAATTATCTCAGCAATTGAGGAGTGTTCTATCACGTTTCTGACTAGTAATTTGTAGATGATTAACAGGTTTGGGGGATTACTCTGTGCAGAATTCCCAACTTCTCTGACTTGCTCTTGTAAACACATCATTTATATGGTTGATCCAGTTCAGTTTCTAGTCAATGGTAACCCCCAAGATAATAGTGAGGGAATTCAATGATGCCATGAATGTTAACGGGAGATGGTTGAATTCTGTTTTGCTGGCCATTTTCTTGCACGTGTGGCACAATGTTACCTGTTACTTACCAGACCAGCCTGAATATTGTCCAAGTTTTGTTGCACGTGAGCAGTACTACCCTATTATCTGAGGAATTGCAAACGGTACTAAAGACTGTGCAATCACCAGCAAACATCTCCACGTCTGACTGTTTCGTGGAAGGTCTTTGACAAAGCAGCTGGAGATTGTTCATTCTCGGTCACTATCTGCGGAGTATTTCCATTTTCATTTTTAAATTTGAGCTATGGTTCCCGAGTCAGTAAAGAAAGTCTCCAGCAATTAAGAAAAGCTTCTGCAGCTACATTGGTCTCCTGCTCACTATGACACGGGCTCCGTTAAGGAAATACTTAAAGCATTGTCCAAACAAATTTTAAGAATTTTTTTTGTGATTCACTATAACTGATCAGAAAATAATGAAATAAAACTATGAATGCACCAATTAAATTGTGTAAAAGTACTGCTTGGTGTGATATTGAGCCATAAAAATCTGGATGCTCTCAGCTTCACTCTCACGTCTCATTCTTAAGTATATTTATTCGCTTAGGTCCGGAATTTCGAGAGGTAGTGCTTTATGAATGCCAGATGAGGGCACTATTCGACAAAGTTTGGACTGTGCAGCTTGCCATAGGCAGAGTCCAGTTCGTATGTTCAAAGGTCCAGTCAGTGATCACCCCACACTTCACTAAGTTGCAATAGCTGACCGGGCCCTTCTGAACCGAGAGGTGAGTGTGTGAAGTTAGCAGCAAACTCTTCCAGAGCCCAAGGGAACAATGTGCTGTCTGCAAGAAATTACCCGTTTGGAACAGAATGCCAGGCACTTTACAATCAGCAGGGGAACACGGCCTGTTAGAAAAGTTTAGAGCGAAATATTCCTGTGACCGAAGAGCAATTGTGAAAAACGTTTGATTGACAGCGAGATTGAACGATAGTGGGGTTTGATTGACAGCCGACCCCTGCGCGCGCTGACCCGTTTCCAATGGCGACCGTGGCTGTGTGACGTCACGGGATTCCCCCTTTGTAACACTTGGTGGAAATAGAGACCCAATTCCCTTCAGTGCAGCAAGGTGTCCCCCCAGTTCTTCCTAAGTAAGAGCTGGAAACGCCAAATGCTGGGAATGCGCAGCGGGTGAGTTAGCATCTGCCAAAATGACAGTTCATTTCTGGCGTATGGCCCCTTGCTTACAGAACTGTCATCAAACAAGGTCTTTCAGACTGAGTTTATGTTCAAGATCCATGACTCTTACATCGGAATTGGAAACAGTTTGGAATGTCATCGGTTTTAAGCAAATGAAAGGAAACAGGGTGGGAAATTAACAAAAGGGAAAGTCTATGATTGGGTGGGAAACAGGAGAGAAACAGTTGGTGGTGCAAAACTCATGTGCAGTAAAGACATACAAGTGTCCAGAGGAGGGGTGAATCTCAGAATGATGAACAACTGCCATCCAAAAACACGAACAGGAGAAAAATACAAAAATAGAAAGAATGAAACATATAAAAGAAAATGTAACAGAGGATATGATTTAAAAATTTTCAACTCTGTATTGAATCCTGAAGTCTATAAAGTACTCAACCAAAAGGTGATGTACAGTGTTTTGTATTTATTGGTGAGTTTTGTTGGAACCACACTGAGGACTGAGGACAGAAAGGCCTGTCCTTTGATAAACACAAAAATGGTCACCTAGGTAAACACAGCGTAGTTATAAATGCAGTGATGTGAGCTCACAGCTGTTCCTATAGGACTCCCCTGTGGCTGAGGAATAGGATGAGTTAACGTGCTCGTTATGTTTGATGCGTGGCTGAGATTTTGGTGGTGGTCATCCTCATTTTAGAGGTGCCAATAAGGATCCACCGCCACAGGCTGCTCCACTGGTGTCAATGCAGGACAGCCTGTGTCACAGGAATTGTTGTATTGATGTTTTTGAAGTCAGCAGGATCAAGGTGTTTCCTGTTGATTACAATAGAAGTGCCCCTCCCCCTCCTTTTCATCTGTGACTGCCTAATGCCTTTTCTGGTCCCCTTAAACATCTGAGAAAACTGCCAGTTAGGGTGCAATAGGCATTCACTGCATGTATGTTTGTGGCATTGGCAAGTCAATACTGCAAGGAATGACATTCTTTCTGTACATATTAGGATGTGGGTCCTGCCTACACTCAGAGTGATGCCACATATGGCTCTCCTCGAAGTTGGCAGTGCTATCAGTGGAAGAGTTCATGAGCTCAAAACCCTGAGAAATGAAGTTTCATGTGATGAATGGACAATTTTATTCTACTTTCTTCATACCACATGCTTCATGGAATTCTGAGGAGTGGTTATACATCTCTCACGAGGAATATCTACCCTGTATGGTTTATGGATTTGTTTGCTGTGAATTTGTCATCTTTCATGGATGGAAGAATGTCGGTCGTTACATTGGACATCTTGTGACTCCGAGCCTGTATCATACCCCCTAGCTGAGCATAGTTGTGTTTCTCCTCCAGCCTCCAATGGGGTGCAGCTGCCTTGATCCCCTCATCTCCTGCTTGCTAATGTAGTGCACTTTACACCTGAGGAACCTGTTCTAAACTAGATTGTGGGCCTGCTGAGTAAGAGTAGAAGATGCACTTGATCAATGTGACACAGTAGGCTTTGGTGCTTTGACACTGGAATAGTGTTACTCCAGCTGTTCAGGCTGTAAGCCCACAACTGGCCCTGTGGGAGACACATGAAAGGAGACACGAGGACTCACAATTCCAGATGCTTTGGCAGAGCTGAGTCAGGACATTACAGTTGGTGTGTTAGCATGGTATTGGCTGGGGAGGAATGTGTTTCGACCCTGGATATTTTTGAGATCATTTTATAATGTCTTTGATGAATTCCCAACTCTCTATCATCCACTCCTTAGTACAGTTATCCTCACGAAATCAACAGCCCACTCCTCCACATATGTAAACATAGCAAGCTAGGGCACTCTACCACCTGAGCTTTTTCTCTCATATTGTGTGCTGTCTTCTCCTGCAAAGGTCAACAGAGTTAAGACAAGGCTGCTTTCCTTCACCACTGCCAGTGCAAAATTCACATGAGATCTTTAGAATGCCACTGAGTTTGAGAGTTTTGCTCAGGGTTCAGCAATGCATCTGGGCACAAAGATCTTCACTGTTAGGATTGCTATGTGCTGTCAGGTTTAAGAACTAGAGGTATGTCATGGCACTGCATTTCACTTTTCCAGACCTAAGAACATCATTGAAGTGTTTGTGACACTTAGCTCAGGTTCTTCTAACGATGCTAAGGCTACTCACATCATAGGTCACCTCATGCTAGGTCTGTTCTATTTGGCTGGGTGACTATCTCCAACCACTCCAGGGGAAAAGGAGGTATATTTCTCTCTGCTGCAATAACCTCTAAGAAAGCATCAAAAATTGTGAGTAGCCCAAGCGCAGGTTCTTAACATCTTGCTGCCCGCTGCTGCATGCTGTCCTCCACCTGTGGTGAAATGGTCTGTACTGTGATAGCTTCTATCATTAGGATGATGGACCCAGGACAAAATTCCAGCCCAGGGAATCAATGAGATACCGTCTTTCGAAGTTTGGAGGGGCAGCAGCATTCGATTAGCTTGGCTGCTTGATGTCAGAAGTTAGCAGTCGTGCTCAAGTGGCAAGCTCTCACTTCCAACTAACACTGAGATAAACATGAAAAACCAGCAGTTCTTCCTCTCTACAAATTTTAAGACCATAAGACCGTAAGACATAGGAGCAGAAATTAGGCCATTCGGCCGATCAAGTCTGCTCTGCCATTCAATCATGGCTGATAAATTCCTCAACCCCATTCTCCTGCTTTCACCCCGTAACCCTTGATCCCCTTGATAATCAAGAATCTATCTATCTAGGTCTTAAATGTACTCAATGACCTGGCTTTCACAGCCTTCTGTGGCAGTGAATTCCATAGATTCACCACTCTCTGGCTGAAGAAGTTTCTTCTTATCTCTGTTCTAAAAGGTCTTCCCTTTATTCTAAGGCTGTGCTCTCGGGTCCTAGTCTCTCCTACCAATGGAAGCATCTTCCCAACATCCACTCTATCCAGGCCATACAGTATTCTGTAAGTTTCAATTAGATCCTCCTACATCCTTCTAAACTCCAATGAGTATAGTCCCAGAGTCCTCAAACGTTCCTCATATGTTAAGCTTTCCATTCCTGGGACCATTCTCATGAACATTTTGATGCCACATTGTTCAGCATTCAGCCTTCACACTAGAGGGCTTGCTGTATCCATGAGCAATGGCTTGGGAGATTAATACTGACAAGATTAGGTTCCATCTCAAACCTTAGTTTCAAATGAACATCATTATGATCCCAGGTGCAACCACCAACTTTGTGTTATTATCTGGCTAAAGCAAACTTGCTCAGAGAGTAAAGCCATGAGATGTGATGGTTTCGAACAATCACCAGGACTTTGCTATACCAATTAGAACAGTAATACAATCTACAACATGTGTACAGATTATTTCTAACACCCTGAACTAACATAGTAAACAGGTGTAATATATTTTTTGAACACCCCATCATGCATTAAAAAAGCCAATGCAATCAAGAAAGATCCCCAAGAATTTATCTGTACAACTCTCTCCAAACGTTAATGCTGCAGAGGGTCATCAGATCCCATTAAACTTCACAATGAATTGTAACTCTACTTTTGCTGAACTGACCTTGGAAACCCCTATCAAGGACTGTTCATGATACCTGCTTCAGTCACAGCACTTGTTCTAGTCGATTACCATCCTGTCTGTGTCTACACTCCCCTTAGTTCTGAAAACTGCACTCCAAAACTTATTCACCAGCACAATACCAGCTTTGCCCTAATAGCTAGCTTCACCAAGTTAGATCTGTCCTTGGGTTTTCCTTGAGCTCTAAGCTTGCTCAGTTGTATGACGTAAATTCGACTATTAGGCTTTTCAACCTCCTTGTTCTCAGTTATACTGACCTATTAGTGGCATCCAGCTTCTTGTGAACCACCACAACTTCCAAGACTTTTCTTTAGCTCTGACTGCCTAATAACTCCTGGAGCGTGGCCTGAGGTCTAATGGCACAGAGATATCCAACTGCTCTTGGGAATTAACTCGCTGAGTCTTACACAGAACCCACGTATCCGGTTGCCTTCCTTGCAGGACAGCTGAAAATCAACATGGAGTCTAACATGGGATTTACCGTTTGTCTGCTTTACAACTCACTGACCTTCAGTTCTTGTCTGTAATGTTTTGAAGTGCTGTTCCGTGACACCCCCGCCCTTCCGTCTTTATCCCGAATGACCTATTGAAAACCTTGTAATGAGCCTTTCCCCTGTTGCTGCCGGAATACAATGTTGCCCCTAGCGAATTTCGGAACGGAGTGTGCTATGAAAGTTACAGTTCTTCATGAATGCTGGCTTCTGCAGGTAAATTGAACACACAGGAAATGGATTTCATCACAACATGGCAGCATTTTCTTTCATTGCATTACAACAATATTCGACTGTTTGTTAATTTACATGGAGGCAAGAAAACAGGTAGTAAACAGTCTGTTCAATGACTTTCTAACCTGTTAAGGTATTAGTTTTGATTTTCCAAAGGTTGTACTTAAGCCTCTGTTAATCAAGGTGAAAAGTTTGCGTGCTCATAAAACGTAACAACCCTATGTGTTAAGTCGGAAATCTAATCATTAATTTATAGCTATGACATTTATCATTTTAGAGTCATTGTAACTTGAATATTTATAAATAGAGTAGTGCCATCTTTAGAGATAGTAGGAACTGCAGATGCTGGAGAATCCGAGACAACAAGCAGCTGCTTGGCCTGCTGTGTTCATCCAGCCCTGCACCTTAGTGCCATCTTTAAATGTTTTTTCTGTGAAAGTACAATAAAGCTGCCTTTTACAATACTGCAGAATCAAAGTTTTATCAGGTGGCGCCTTCACATTTTCTGTTTACTTCAAAAATATGGACTTGTTACTGCTTGGTTGCAATATTGGCAAATTTACCAACTACAAGCAGCAGTGATTATATCCTTCAGTTCTGATGAAAGTTCATTGACCTGAAATAACTCAATTCCTTTCTATGGTAGCTGCCTGATCTACTGAGTGTTACAGCATTGTTTTCATTTATATCCCTAGAGTTTGTGACTGTCAAACGTCATGGAATAAGGCTACACACAAAACCTCTATTGCTTATTTTATTAGTGTTTGCATAGCTATGTTTAATCTACACATTGTTGAAAATAAACATGGCAACAGGATATGTAGGTGCATCTGTATTAGTCTTGACTTGATGCATGTTCAGTGTGTGGTAGTGCATCAGTTGAAGGGGGCTGCCAGTCAGTCACACTCTCTCGATTGGATAGTTAAAAGCACCAAAAGGGGAATTCTATTAACAATGGATTAAAAAATGAGACTGGAACAAAGTAATTTTTATTTTCTTGTTCAGACTAAAACATGGCATCCTCAAGACTGGGTCTCCGTTTGGCTGTATGTTTGTTGAACGTTTCTGAAGCTAGACAGCAAGACATTGTGGAAAGGATTGCTAAAGCTGGTCTCTGGGATAAAGCAGGTGCGTGTTAATTTTTGTTGCTAAAGCCATGAGAGAAAAAAAATGTAACTGCCTGAAATATTGGTGACACATTTTTGTGCTTTGATTGCAGGTCAGAAACAAACACAAACGACTGTGTTGAATATATTTTCAGATTATGACTATAACAGATCTGTCTTAACTCTTGCTGCTCCTGTGGAGACTTTAGGTAAGATTACACTGCAGACGTGTTTGCTCTTAAAAGTACAATTTGTATCAACTCCAAAAGCATTTGAAAAATTTCTTGCTCCACAGGCCAATATTTGACTGCATACCTAGAGCCCAAGTTCAAACTTCAGGCTTGACTGATACTCGGTTTCTGTTCCTTAATAGTTACTGTGCTTTGTATTTACATGATAGGCTATGAAGTGTAATGTTAGATGCTTGTGAGATAATTTATCGAGTTGGTAGGATGCAGAGAATAAAGATTTGGCAGATCCAGCAGCCTTGCAGATGCAGGACCCTGAGGTATGTAGCTACTAGAGAACATGTATATTCCCACACCTTGTGGGACCATTTCAGACAAGTGTTGAGGGGAGTAAGGGTGGAAAGCAAGGTAAATGCATTGACAAACTCATTTCACACACCACTCCATATTAAAGTAACCATGTTTAGCTGGTTCTAGAGATGGATGGTGCAGGAGACGGAATAGTGTTGGATTGTTGCTGCAATCACTGCTTCACTCATAATGAAACTTCCTTGAAAAATTTTCAAATTGTTAATAAATGACATGTCTACAAATTAAAACTTAGAAATAAGTAAGAGAAAATGCCTTCTGTCTTAAATCTAGATTTATACTATCACATCAAATTATAAGAATGTTCAAACATGCCACTGACTAGCTGAATTCCCCAGTTGAGAACTTGTTTTTAATATGATCATGGGATGTGTGCATCACTGGCAAAGCCAGCACTTACTGGTCATCCCTAATTAATCTTGAAAAGGTGTGCCTGAGACTGCTTCAGTCCACGTAGTGTAGGTGCACCAAAATCTCACTAGGGTTGGAGTTCCAGGATTTTGACCCAGCAAAACTGAAGAAACAATGATATACTTCAGGTCCGGATGGTATGACTTGGAGGGAAGGTTGCTTGTAGCTAATGTTCTCATGTAGCTGCTGATCTTCTAGGTGATGAAGGTAATCGGTTTGGAAAATGCTGTCGCAGAAGGCCTGGTGAATTGCTGCAGCACAGTGTGCTTATGGTATGCCAGAGGTGGAGGGAGTGAATGCTTAAGGTGGTAGATGTGGTGCCAATCAAGTGGGCAGCTTTGTCCTAGATGGTGTCCAGTTTGAGTGTTGTTGGAGTTGCACTCATCCAAGTAAGTGAGTAGTATTCCATCACATTTCTAATGTGTGTCTTGTAGATGATGGAAAGCCTTAGGATGTCAGGGAAAGATCTATTCAAAACATAATTTGCAGCTCTTGACAATCTTGTCAACAGAATATCACGTTGAACAGCTGTTTCCCCTTGTGGGACAGTCTCGAAAAAGACATCATAGATATAGAGTGAGAGGAGGTAGGTTCAAAACTGAGATGAGGAGAAACTACTTCTCTTAGAGAGGTTGTGAATCTGTGGAACTCACTGCCCAAAGTGCAGTACTGGTAAAATCAATCGAAAGATTCAAGAAAGAAATAGATATGTTTCTAATGAAAAGTGGGTTAAAGATATATGGGTAGCAGGTAGGAAAGTGGAGTTGAGGCCAGGATAAGATCAACCATGATCATGTTAAATTGCAGAGTGGGCTCCCACTCCTAATTCCTCTGCTCCTATATTTGTATTACTCGTATTTCTGTTGTGTTTATGTTCAGCAGTGACCTGCAGTATTTTGATGTTGGAGGATTCAATGATGGTAATACCATTGAACATCAAGGGAGGTCGTTAGATTCCCTCTTTGATGATAGTCATTTCCTTGTATTTGATGTGTGCAAACATTATTTAATATTAGTTGTAGAGCACTGTTGGGAACAGATCACTTACTTGTCATCTTGCTGAGGAAAAGGTATTTGAGGTAAGCTCAGGGGAGAGGAAATATATGACATCAAACCAATAAGAGATAAAAAATATACAAAACATGACATGGTAGAGTTGATAATAGCCACACATTCCTGAAATTATATTCGCTAATTGTTAATTATGGGGAAAAAATGGTGTTATGTTATTTTCTATTATAAGAATAATTTCACTTGAGACTAAGGAAGTTAAATTGCTTAAGTTACAGACATGATCTTTTGTTCATTTATTTCCGCAGCTTTGGCATCCCAATGTGTGACAGCTAATGAACTTTATGTATATCATCAAAGTTACATTATAAGATAAGAGCCCATAGTTTTGGGGGTAGTATATCAAGATGGAAAGAGGATTGACCGACTGATAGAAAACAAAGAGCTAGGATAAAGGGGGCATTTTCAGGATAACAACCTGTAACTACTAGAATGGCACAGAGATCAGTGCTGGGGCCACACGTATTTATAACACATTAATGACTTGGATAATAGAATTGAATGTACTATAGCAAAGTTTGCAGATGACACAAAAATAGGTGAGAGGGCTAGTAGTGAGGATGACCACAAAAAGTCTACAGAGGGACACATATAATGTGGGAAAACTTGAGGTTATGTGCTCTGGCGGGGAGAATAAAAGAGCTGAATATTATTTAAATTGGAATGGCTGCAGAAATCTGCAGGACGCAGGAATTTGAGGTTCAGATCTAGTCAGACAACACCTGGAATGGCTGTGAACAGTTTTGGTCCCCTTTTCATAGGAAAAATGTACTGGCATTGGAGACAGCCCAGAGAAGGTTCACTCAATTAATTTCAGGCATGGAGGGATTTTCTTATGACAGGTCGAGTGGTTGTGTTTGTACTGGTTGGAGTTTAGAATAATGAGAGGAGTCCTTATTAAAACATATTGATTCCTAGAGGGCTTGACAGAGTAGATATGGAGCGATTGCTTTCCCCTGTAGGTGACTCTCGGGCCAGAAGGCATTATCTCAGAAAAAGGCGTCACCCAGTGAGGACAGAGATGAGTACTATTTTTTCTCTTGTAGAGTAGTCAATCTGTGGAATTGTTTACCATAGAGAGCCGTTGAGGCTGGGTCATTAAGGATAGCCAAGGCTAAGATAGTCAGATTTTTAATCAGTAAGGGAATCGAGGTTAGTGGAGAGAAAGCAGGAAAGTGTTGTCGAGGATAAATCATATCAGCTCTTATCAGATCTTATTGAATGGCAGAACAAACTCGATGGGTTACAGGGCCTACATCTACTCCTGTGGCTAATGCCTAATATGTGCACCTGATCATTTTGCCAGGTATTCATTAATACTGCAATACGGAGAAATCTTAACTGACATGGAACTGGCAAAAGGAGGGGAGGTTGCATACAAATTCACACACATCGTTATGAAGCTGTGGAAATCTTTTATGTTTCCACAGTTTTTTCCATACTTGAGAGAAAATCCACTTTCAAAGAAAAATAACACAATATATTCTATGATATAATACAATACATTAGATATTTATGTGCAGAGTAGATTTCTGTTAATATTTCATACACTGAGCTCAACCACTATACTTTTTTGTAATGTTATATAGCAATGGGTTAATTGAATTTTCCTTTTTTAGGTAATTCTGTTGTGACAGCATGTACTGAAGCATACGATTTGATTGATATGGAGCACCATGATGGCATCCATCCTTGCCTTGGGAGCGTGGATCTTGTTCCTATTTACCCCCTATCAGAGTCTGTTAGCCTGGAAGAATGTGGCAGAGTGGCTCGTGGTAGGTTAACAGCAGTATTCATTTCACTTCAGTCATGCTTGAACAACAACAACCTGTGTTTATGTAGTACCTTTAGCATAAAACGTCCCAAAGCACTTCACAGCAACATTATAAAACAAAATTTGATACTGGGCTATCTAAGGAGATACTGGAGCAAATAACCAAAAGCTTACTCGAATATCTAGGTTTTAAGGAGCTCTTAAAGGATGAAAGAGCATCAGTGAGGTTCAAGGAAGGAATTCCAGACTTAAGGCCTACGCTGCTGTAGGCATTGTCATCATGGATTGCAATTAAAATTAGGGATGCCCAAAAAGTCTGGAATTAGGTGAGGAAAGCACTATTGTTATGATCCTCATAGAGACTGTCACATGTTAAAATATTTAAATTCCCCATGACTGACATAAAGGAATTGTACAACTTGGTTTCAAATCTTATGAAACAAAAACAGCAAGTGCTGGAGAAACTGACAAAGAGTCACTGGACATCAAACATTAACTCTGCTTTCTTTCTACAGATGCTGTCAGATCTGTAATTTGTGTTTTTGTTCCAGATGTCCAGCATCTGCAGTTCTTTGTTTTATTCAAATTTTATGCATGTTGTAAACAACTAAATGCAACATTGGCTAAATATTACTTAATAGGTAACTAGTACTTGAAACTTTATGCCCTGTAAATTGAGGATTTTTAAAATCCCTTTTATCTCCTCCTTACAGACATTGCAGAGAAATTATCCCAAGATGTACCAGATTGCAGTATCTTTTATTTTGGATATGCAGATCAACCTCTCAAACGAAACCTAGTCCAACGCAGGAAAGAGGTGAACTGGTATAAGAGGAGCAATTTGAATGTGAATGAAATAAAGCCAGATGTAGGAGCTGTGATTTCTCCTAGATATGGTTTGACAGGTTGGTGTTCTGTAACATACCCTAAAACAATATGTTGGAAATTAATGCATGACTATAGGTTGTGTTAGAATACCGAGGCTCTCAAATGCATTGTCACTCTGTTCATTTCTGCCAGTTCATTTTTGTGTTATTTCTGAGCATGCTGACCTTAATTAATTTTAATCACGTTATTAAACTGTTCCAGGGCAGGTGGGATTTGAACCCTGATCTTTTGGTCCAGATGTAGCGACACTACTACTGTACCACAAGACCCTTTAAATTATTATTATTCTTTTATTCAACCTGTTTGGAGACATTGTGACAAATTTCTGGAAAAAGTGGGACTTGAACTTTCTGACACAAGGTATGGATCCTACCCTACACCCCAAGATCCTCCATATTCATTGTAATTGGACTCAGTTGTTTCAGCATAATTGTTTCTACGTACCAGAATTTCCCTTTAAATCTTCACAAGCCATCTCATATTGCAAATTTTAACAAGTAATCTCAAAACCCAGCCCATAGATTTATAAAGATTAAATAAATCAAGATTTAATTTTTATCACAAGAATGAGGGATTATCTCCAGTATTTTCAAATTGGTGTTTATTTTATTTTCATGTAAAATAGATGATCAATAGCATTGAATATTATTTTATGTGTTTCGTCTGACAGCCTAGTTACAACCAGCACTTCTGTGGAAAGAGAGGTAAGACTAAATGCCTGACGATGCTGGATTTGACCTCAGTGATCTATTTAGAGTCCAGTAATCCAAGGAAGAAAGTATTTTACAATCTGTCTAATTTCCAATTAGAACAAACAGTGCACCTTGTATATTTTGATTAATAAAATCACACAGAACATTCATTTCTTTTGAGAAACTCAATGGGTCATTTTGTAGAGAGCGTGCAGTTTTAATTCATTTCACAAAGTTGAAAGGTCCTTCTTGGGTTGCAGCACTTGCTGACACCTATCTTGGAGCCTTCTATGTTCAAAAGTACTCCAGTGCAGGGTGGGTTTGCAGTTTTACCTGTAGCTTCTGATAGCATCTAAGCATGGAAACGTTGGGGCTTTATATGTTGTGCTGCATCATGGACAGTTGCCAGTTAGTTGAGAAGCTTTTTCTAAAATGACCCTGAATCCATCTGATGAGGGTTGTAGCAGACTCGAAACATTAACTCTGTTTCGCTCTCCACAGAAGTTGCCAGATCTGCTTACTTCTGCCACCAATTTCTGTTTTTGTTTCTGATTTCTAACATTCTCAGTGGATAAGAGAAGAACTTAAAATTTTGTCAACTTTTGCTCATCTTATCACTCAAGCTTTAACTTCCTTACCCGAAATAAACTGTAAAAGACGAGGCTTAGACAATTGAATTAGGTTTGTCACAACCTCAGTGTCATATTTGACCCTGAAATAAGCTTCCAGCCCCATCTCTGCTGCTTCACCAAGACTTCCTACTTTCCTATCAGTAATTTTGCTGATTGCCATCCCTACCTCAGCATATCTGTTACTGAAAACTCCATACACATACCTTTTATAACTCCAGACTATGTGGCCTCTCATTTTCTGCACTCCATCACCTTGCGGTCATCCAAAACCCAGTTGCACATGTCTTAACTCATGCCAAAACCTATTCACCAATCATCCCTGTGCTTGCTGACCTATGCTGGCTCACGATTTGGTAACATGCTGGTTTTTAATTGCTTCTCCTTGTTTTCAAATCCCCTGTGTGACCTGCCCTTTCTTATCTGTGTATCCTCTTCTAACCCTCCAGATTTTTGGACTGCAGAATTTTAGGCCTAGGGAATCCTCCATTTTATTAGCTCCACCATCGGCAGCCAGGCCTTCAGAAAACTCTGGAATTCTCTGCCAAAACCTCTCTACCTCTCTAGCTATCTTTTCTCCTTTATGCTGCTCCTTACAACCTGCAACCATTTATTAAGGAAGTAATAAAAGGACATTTGGAAAGTTAAAATACAATCCATCAGAGTCAGCATGGTTTTATGATGGGAAAATCATGTTTGGATAATTTGATAGAGTTGTGGATAATGGCAATTTTGTAGATATAGTATTTCTGGACTTCCAGAAGGTATTTGATAAGGTCCTGCACAAATGGTTACTCCACAAGGTAAGATCACATGGGGTTGGAGGTAATTTATTAGCTTACATAGAGGATTGGATAACCAATGGAAAGTAGAGAATTGGGGTAAATGGGTCATCTTCTGGTAACTATTGGGGTGCACTAGGATTCGGTTGTTGAGCTTCAACTATTTACAATCTGTATTGATTGTTGCATATATGAACAGAGAGTGCTATACCCAAATTTGCAAATGACACTAAAATAGATTGCAATGAAGAAATGAGAAATTTACAAATGGATATGTATGCGTTGGGTGATTGGTCCAAAATTTGGCAGATGAAGTTTAATGTGGATAGATATGAGGTTAACCATTTTGGTCAAAGAAATAGAAACGCAATTTATTATCTCAATGGAGAAAAAATTCAGAGCACTTCGGCGCAGAGGGATCTGGGTGTCCTTGTGCATGAATCACAGAATAGTAGTGTCTAGGTACAGCAGGCAACAAGGAAGGAAATTTAAATTTTTAGCATTTATTGCTTAAAAAAAATCTCAATGTGGAGAAATATTTCTGAAACTGTTCAACGCATTAATGGGACTGCATCCAGAATATTGCGTACAGTTTGGTCCCCTTTCTTGAGGAAGGGTATAGTTGGAGGCAGTTCAAAAGAGGTTCCAGAGGTGAGATGTTTGTCTTATGAAGAGAGATTGAGCAGATTAGGCTTATACTCTCTGAAATTTAGAAGAATGGGAGGAGATCTAATATAAGGTGCTAGAGGGGATTGAGAAAGTAGATATAGAAAGCATATTTCCTCATATGGGGCAATCTGGAATGAGTGATCATAGTTTTAGGATCAGGTGTAGCAGAGATGGTGAGAAATAACTTCTCTCAAAGGATTATGAATCTGTGGAATCCCAGAGTGTGGTGGATGCTGAGACACTGATTGACTGAATTTAAGGCGGAGATAGACAGATTTTTATTTAGTAATGAGTTGAAGGGTCATTGGAGAGCAGGCAGAAAAGCAGTTAAGACTAAGATGAGATCAGCCATGATCATATCAAATGGCAGGTCAGGCTTGAGGGGCTGAATTGCATACTCCGGCTCCTAGTTTTATGTTCTTATGTTCTTACAATCTACTTTGTTAATTGACCATTTGTCCTAATACATCCTTATGTTATTTAAAATCTGCTGATGCTCCTGTAAAGCACCTTGTGACAGTTTACTTCAGTGTGTTAAATAAATGCAAGTTATTGTCATTGGAAAACCAAACAGATTTTCCATTCATATTCACTTGAACACAGAAGATAGCAGAACAGTAAGGTAATTACCGTGACACTAACTTGTAGACTGCTTCTGTAGCCTTGACTTTAAATAACCCATACACAGGTAATTTTGCGAGAATAAAGTCGAACTGATGACAGGTTTTGAAAAGTGCCACACGTTTAGAAAGCTGTTTTCTTTTTGCTCTTTTCAGGAATTGGTGCCAGCCCGTATGTCATGAACTGCAATGTGACTATTGACACACAGGATCTGACCATTGGGCAGCAGATTGCCAATGCAATCCGGGCAGCGAATGTTGGAGGCCTACGTGGTGTTCAGGCCATGGCCTTTCCTCATGAGGGCACTGTGGAGATAGCCTGCAATGTCGAGAGTTTTACAGATGAGACCTCATCATCTCTGGCAGCAGAAAGAAAGGAATGTATTTCTTATTTTATTCAGGGGAAAGAATACTTGTACTTCTCTCCAAGATCCATAGAGAGGCAGATTAAAAAAATGGCTACCAGCCATGGGGTTACAACAGTTGGTACAGCACTGGTTGGGTTCACACCTCAACTCTGCAAAAGCTTGGCAGAACAGGCTATACTGGAAGGGTGTGGAGAGTTCTGGAAGAGGCGTCAGACCATTACAATGTAGGGAAGGCATAGGTGTGTGATTTATGTCTTTAAGGAATCATGCTTAAAGTAACCGTGGGCTGGATTTTAGGCTCTGCTCCAACCCCCCAGCATGTTTTCACCAGGGTGGTCATGTAAAGTCTATCAAGTGACCAGCCCATTGCCTTCCCACCCACCGCCTTCCCACCCACCTCTGATCAATTTCTGAAAATATGGGGATGGAGGTGGTCTGGATAAGGTGCCTACTAGCCAATCCACTCTTAGGCCCAATGCACACCTTAAGTGCCGATTATTGCCCACTCTAGGCCTTTAATCCACCTCCATTGTCATAAAACACTTGACAGTGGCAGGTGGAGGCAGGAGTGAAAAGCCATTTACAACTTGGTTGAAAAGGAGGGAAGGAAGGGGGTACGTTATCTGAGAGGTGCCCTTTTGTGCATCGGGGGCATATCCAAGAAAATGTGACCCTGCTTTGTTCCACCCCATCTGGTCTCCAAAATCAGAAACCCAGGCACCCCCACCTCAGCTCAGAAACCCTCCTTGCCTGTCTCTCTCTCTCTATCTCTCCCGCTGGAATGAATGTAGTTTTTCTTTCCGGGGTTATTTGCAGGCTCAGCATTGCCCACTCCTCAATTCCACTGCCATTGGCTGTGCTAGAGCTGCCGGTCACTCCGATTGGCCAGAGCTCTTGAGAGTTAGATTTCCCCCTGATTGAGGTCCCAAATGGCGTTGTGGAGGCTGCTGGAACACATTATGATTGCAGACTGGCCTCATTTAAAGTCTTTTGGTCTGGAACCAAACTTTTTTTCTAGGAGGTGAGCAGTACATCCCCGACCCCAATAAAATCCAGCCCGATATCTCTTACCATGTAAACAGACCTTGTACACTATCATGAATATTTTGTGTTTTGTAATGATCTGTTGCTGATGAATAGAAAGAAATTCTTAGGTACGTATGACATTGGCCACAAAGAAATTATTGGAAAAGGAATAAGCTCCTGTGAGATAATAGGCAAACAGCTGATTTCACAGAATCTGCCAATGTCCCTGTTAAGCTAGTCCATGAGATTGTATGAAAGTGGTCCAGGAAGACAAGAAGGATCCCGACCCGAAACGTCAACTTTCCTGCTCCTCTGATGTTGCCTCGCCTGCTGTGTTCCTCCAGCTCCACACTGTGTTGTCTCTTACTCCAGCATCTGCAGTTCTTGCTATCTCTGACAGGTTTATTCATTGATTTACTTTTTTAGGACATACTTCTGAACTTTGACTGAAGGCATTGACTCCTGCTCAGTGACCGATCTGCAGGTATTGAAAACTCTTGGTGTCTCAAGCAAATGAGAATTCTGCATTTGTGAGCATTAGACATTGTTAGATGAAGAGAGGTTGTTTCATGTTGTGGGAGAGTCTAGGACCACAGAACATAATCTCAGAAAATACCCAGAGATGAGGAGAAATTTCTTCTCACAATGGATAGTGAATCTGTGAAGTTCTTCCCACAGCTGCGCAGTGTTATTGAAGTCGGTCAAGAAGTATATTCAAGGCTGAAATAGACAGATTTTTAATCAGTTAAGGAATTAAGGTTTATGGGCAAAAGGCAGGAAAATGGAGTTGAGGGTTATCAGGTCAACCATGATTTCATTAAATGGTGGGATAGATTCGATGGCTGGAATGGCCTAATTGTACTGCCATGTCTTATGTTCTTATGGACAAAACACTAGATGGGCTGCAGATTATCTAACCATTTTGAGATTTTACAGCCGAAACCAATCACAGCCATGGGTTCTGCTTTGATCCGGAGAATATTGATGGTGATAGGAATGACCCTCCTTTTTTCCAGGAGTCTTAAGGTCATTTATAGCTGCCACACAGGATTTGAACCTGTGGTTGTCTGGATCACTCTGTGGAAAATGTTTGCTTAATAGGAAAACTTGTTTCCCACGTTTTCAGGATGAGCTTATATCTGATGACATAGTAAGAATTAGGAGCTCTGGAGATACACAAACTGTTGTTCCCAGTGAGCATAAGCTAACATTATATTATTTCTGTATGTTGTTATTATGGTGACCTAAGAATTTTCCGTTAGATGGCCAGGTGCATTCTATAATCCACTGTTAAAATTTAAGGAGTGAAAACCCCGCCTTTCTTGAAAGGAGGAGGAATAATGTTATTCATCCAAGTAGTTCACCTCGGTTATGGCACAGGAAAAATGTCACGTAAAAGGGAGCCACTTAATGTTACTAGACCCTAGGGACAAGGATGTCTGCTCTGTGCTGTTTAGCTGTGGTAAGGAGCAGAAAGAGGCTGAGCTGAGATTTAGGATGCCCAGTTTAACAGTTTGTGAAGCAGTGTACCTGCCACAATCTCATTTGCTGATCAGGCTAGCCAGAACTACTTGAGGCACACTCTTATTGCCTCTTGTTTGCTCATGGGACAAGAATGGATACAGAAACGTCTTTGAAGTGTCAATCATGGTTAGTATCCCCATCAGTATGTAAGAACCCATCTGACTATTCATAGGACTGTGGACTGTTAAAGTACTTATATCTTTAATTGTAGCTTGTATGTAATAACGTGTGACCTATTATGCATAGTATCTGGAGGGACAGAGATGAATAAACTTCTCACCTTTTAAGTACACCACTTGGCAGGGAAGAGGACATAAATGCGTTACAGGATTTGAAACAAGTGATGAGGAGAATGAAATCCATGTCATAAAATAGCAAGGAAAGGAATCAGATTATTCCTTCCATTCCCCAATGGCTGCACCTGTTTGTTGCAGACAAAATGATTTGATTTTTCATTTTGCTTTAGCCATGTGTTAGTTGAATGATTAATTTACAAATAAATTCTTATCCAGCCAACCTGCTTCATGATGTATTGATTCAATGCTCACGTTTCATAACTTTCAATGTGAATATAGCATGTATGTGTGGAAAGGGTGTGGAAAACATAAGGACAATTTAATTGTTAGCACGCAGTGTGCAAATTGCATCTTGCTATTTGCATAATTCATCACTGGTTGGCCTCTTGGTTGAATGAGTGATGTTCATAATCTGCAGTGTTAGCCAACAGGATTACGTAGATTTTTTTAAAAATAATGCGTGAATGTGCAAAGAAAGTCAATTGTGAATGAAATGGCAGTACTTTCACACTCAGAGTTTCAATGCAGGAAGAGTCCCCCTATCTCATCATCTTGATGAAAACATTAGCTTTATTTTGGAGTGCTTTTTATTAATGAGTTTCTGAAGATCAGTAGCCAGAAACACCAAGTTTTTGCTTTAAGGGATTCTGATACAAAACTGATCTTCCAGTGATTTCATTGGGGATTGTCTAATTGGTTAATCCACTTACTTGCATTAAACATCTCCAGTCTCCGGATTACACCATTCAGGAGTGATATTGAAAAATAATTTGTTGACTTTTTGCCCTTGGGAAAGCAGATGATTTGATTTTGTAATTATAATCTTTTTAGGAGCGATACTGAATTCACTCGCATCATAAATAATTGCCCATAAATGTATAATCTGATTGTTAATTCAGCAAAAATAATTTGGAACCATCATTGTGCATTTGGATTAAGATTAATATTCAAGCTAATTAATTTCCTTATACCAGTTTTCTCCACCCTCTTCTAAAGATGCTGACTCATATTGCAGTATGCCCCAGGGGTGCCAGGAATCCTTTGATACCTCATGCCAATTTAAACAGCATCAGCAGACTTTACAATTCTCGAAGGTGTCACAACCAAACCTGATTCTGTGCTTGCATGACATCAACCCACTTCCTACAGGATCACTGGTAACTGGCAGGAGAAACTTAATGTATGGTTACTGATCATAGGGTTCCACTTGGGATCAAAAGATGTTTGCACGGAATAGGAATTGAACCTGGGATTTTCCATAACTTTTACTCACTTATCCCATCAACTAATTAATTTAGGAATTATTGTGGAGAATTGCAAGATCAAACCTGCATCTTATCACTCCATGTCAACACAGTGTGGAGCTGGAGGAACACAGCAGAAGAAGGGTCCTGACCTGAAACATTGACTTTCTTACACCTCTGACACTGCCTGACCTGCTGTGTTCCTCCAGCTCCACACTGTGTTGACTCTGACTCCAGCATCTGCAGTTCTTACTATCTCTGAATGATTTATAACCCCACTGCAAAGCCTCTTCCAAGGATGCCTACCTTGAAGAAGTTGTCCTCCTCCCTCCGAAAAGACCTCAGTGGATCTGTCTCCCACTGCAACCCTTTAGTAATCTCCTCTGCCCTGAAACTCTTTGACTACATCCTTAAACAAACCCAGTACTATAGCCACGTCTTCTTTCTTAGTACCTGCCTATGCAGCCAGATCATCTCCAATGGACTCCAGTTCCGAAGCAGGGTCCCGACCTGAAACATCGACTTTCCTGCTCCTCCGATGCTGCCTGACCTGTGTTCCTCCAGCTCCACACTGTGTTGACTCAGCAAGAGCTGCAGATGCTGGAGTCAATCTCCTTATTACTTCATGGTGCAGTTCATCAAGAAGCAATCTGTCTACAGGTAACTTAATTTGACATCATTGTAATTATTTAATCGTTAAATTAAAATATTAAAATGCCATTGTATAATTCATTCAAAATTGCTAAATCTCAGCTGTTGAATAAATTGTAACTTTTTGAGCAAAAGTAGTCAAGTTAACTGGAATAGTTCAATTGACGAGGCAATGGCCTAGTGATATTATCGCTTGACTGTTAATTCAGGACCAAGGTAATGTGCTGGGGACCCATGGCAGAGTACCTAAGGAAGCAATGTGCCTTAATGACTACCACCCAGTGGCCCTGACCTCCATAATCATGAAGTGCTTCGAGAGGCTGGTCATGGCCCACATTAACTCCAGTCTCCCAACCTGCTTCGATCCCCTAAAATTTGCATACTGACGTAACAGGTCCACAGAGGATCCCATATCGCTAACCCAGTACTCATCCTTGGAACATCTGGGCAACAAGGACTCCCACGTCAGAAGCCTGCTTATCCACTACAGCTCTGCCTTCACACCATTATCCCTTCCTGACTGATCTCAAAACTCCATGACCTTGGTCTCGGCTCCATCCTCTGCAACTGGATCCTCAGCTTTGTGACCCACAGACCGCAATCGGTGAAGATAGGTAACTGCAACTCCTCCACAATAAGACTCAGCACCGGAGCACCCCAAGGATGCATTCTCAGCCTCCTACTATACTCCCTGTACACCCACGACTATGTAGCCAAATTCTGAATGAACGCCATCTACAAGTTTGCTGATGACACCATTGTGGTAGGACAGCTATCAAACAATGATGAGTCAGAATACAGAAGGGAGATAGAGGGTTTGATGACATGGTGCAATGACAATAACCTCTCTCTCAATGTTGGCACGATTAAAGAAATGGTCATTGACTTCAGAAATAAAGGAGGAAAATATAGCCCCATCTACATGAACGGAGCTGAGGTTGAGAGGGTTGACAGCGTCAAGTTTCAAGGAGTGAAGATAACTGATAACCTGTCCTGGACTTCCCACGTAGATGCGATGGTCAAGAAATCACAACAACGCCTCTTCTTCCCCAGGTGGTTTATGAAAGTTGGCATGTCCATAAGGATCCGCACCAACTTTTAGAGATGCATCATTGAAACCATACTCTCCGGGTGCATAACAGCCTGGTATGGCAACTGATCTGCCCAGGACTGTATGGAACTACAGAAGGTTGTGTGCACAGCCCAGACAATCACTGAAGCCAACCCTGCATCCGTGGGCTCCATTTACACTCCTTGTTGCTGTGGAAAGGCTGCCAACATCATCAGAGACCCATCCGACCCCAGTAATGCTCTCCTACAACCTCTTTCATTTGGCAGAAGATACAGCAACATGAACATACGCACCAGTAAGTTCAGGAGCAGCTTCTTCCTGGCTGTTATTAGACGGATGAATGGACTGTCTAACCTCAAATAATATTGATCTTGTTATATTGATCTTGCCTCATGCACATCCTGTGTGGTATAACCTGTATGCCTCATTCTGTTCAAGTTTTTTATTCATCCTAAGATCTGTATGTCCTTGCTTACTACAATCTTCCTGTACTGCTTGCAAACAAGGCTTTTCACTGTACTTAGGTACACGTGACAGTAAATCAAATCAAATCAAATGGTGGAATTTGAATTCAATAAAAAGCTGGAATTAAGGGTCTAATGAGAATCATTGCCAATTGTCAGGAAAAACCCGTCTGGTTCACCAATGTGGGATGGGCAATAAATGCTGGCCTAGCCAGCAATGCCTCATTCCAGAAATGAATAAAGAAAGTTATTTTATATGATCTCTAATACACGTACATTGGCTTTTTTGTGATAGCCCTGTTCGAAATTGACTGATGCAGTGTATTTATGAGGTAGGAAGCCACAGCATTTGTCTTCTTATTCATTCACAGGATGTGGGCATCTCTGGCTGGCCCATCCCTAATTGCCTAGAGGGCAGTTCAGAGTCAACCATATTGCTGTGGGCCTGGAGTCGTGTGTAGTCCAGACAGTAAGGGTGACAGTTTCCTTCCCTAAAGGACATTAGTGAACCAGATGGGATTTTCTGACAATTAGCAACTGTTTCATGGACATCATTAGACTCCTATTTCTGTGTTTTTATTAAATTCAAATTCCACCATCTGTCACGGCAGGATTCGAACCCAGATTCCCAGAACATTACTTGGGTCTCGGGATTAATAGTCTCGCAATATCACTCGGCCATCGCCTCTCTCACCACATGAATGTTATATGCAAGGAATCTTTGTATTTCAGTGAAGGTTGTGACTGCCCTGTTGATTTGGATATGCTTTTTGCATCCTGGTGTTTGCAAAACAATCAAGATTAACAACTGAATAGCTGTAGCAATGACTTTGGGATTGCTGTGATGGATTAGTAACATGACCAATAACATTTGACACTGCACCATTTTGTACAAGACTCCAGTCAACGATGCACTCAGATTACATTCCTGCATGCATGCATAGTGTCTAGGACTGTGCTACATGTTATTTATACTAAGGTGGTTAATAGAAAGAATGTAAGCATGCTGTTAGGAATTGCCTGAAGTTTGACCCAGTGACAGTGAAGTATTGGTGATATATTCCCAAGGAGAGGTTGTGTGTAGCTTACCAGTATCTTTCGGATTGGTATGGTGTTCACATGCATCTTGTCTTTCTAGGTCATAAAGGTCATGAGTTTGATATATCTTTTGAAGGAGCTTTGGTGAGTTGCTGCGGTGCATCTTGAATATATTATACACTGTTGCCACTGCGCATCAAGAGTGGAGCGAGTGAAAGTTGAAGGTGGTGATGGACTGCCAATCAGTAGGCGACTTTGTCCGAGATGGTTTTGAGCTTTGGGAATGTTGTTGAAAATGTAGGGAAACAACAAACCAATATGTGCACAGCAAAATCCCACAAACAGCAATCTGCTCTAGTGACGTCTTCTGTTACATCAGTTCAAGAAGTAGATGAACCATATCTCCAGCAATGCACCATGTAATTTGAATTGCTTTGGGATTTCAGCCTAGATTATGTGATCAAGTCTTTAGAGTGAGGCTAAAAACCACAATCTTCTTACAGAAGCATTTGTGCTTACCACAGAGTTATGCCTGGTACCAACTGTGTTGTCAAGATTCTATCATTTTTATTATTGTTCATGTATTTTTACACAGGTCAAGAAACTAAAGTTCAACTTTGATTGGGGTAAAATTGGCCAATAAAGGATTGGATAACAGTTATACAACATTCAGATGTTTTTCCTGCCATCGAAGTCAATGTATGGCTATATTCAAGTCTGGCTGCTCTGATATTAACTGTTTTGCAGAAGT